TCAGCTGTAGATGCATGAGAAGGACTCTTTTTAATATAATAAGTATAATAATTTTATTTTGTATAATAAAAAGGTTAGGTTAACAATTACCGTATTTTTCGCTCCATAAGATGCACCTTTCCATAAGACGCACAGACTTTCCACCCCCCTGTCCTGTTTTGTAAAAGTGCGTCTTATGGTGCGAAAAATACGGTACTTAATTCATTAACGTAGCACATTTTAATTTAAATAAAGCACTTCCTGCTTATTATTTGCCTAAATAAATAAAATAAATAAATAAATAAATAAATATTATCAGAGTATATGTATAAATAAAGTGTACTATATTCTGAGCAAAGTGTAAGGTATAATTATAAAATAACACACAACAATAAGACAACAATATATATAGTGGTACAACAGGAACCCCAGTGATGCCAGTGCACATTTCACCACCTTTACCTCCTTTGCTTTTGTATCTAATAAATGTTATTTTATCTTCTTCCTGCCTCTAACATTACACCTATTTCTCTGAAAAATAAGCTGTAGATATAGCTTATTTTCACTGACACATTGTTAAATACCTTTTTCCATTGATTTAAATGGAAGACAAATTATCACCTAAAAAGAGTGTGCTTCCAATGAAAACATGGCTGTATGATTGATATACTATTGAATTATAGATTTTCCATCCAAATGCATTATCTGATCCCACATATTTGGTTAATCAGAAATTCAGACAAATAGAAACCCTTTTTAAATAGGTTAAGTGGCATGGTAAATTAGAGTTCCACAGTGAACTAGAATGCTATGCAGAGGATGATGACTTTAATTACATTTATTTTCCTGCAGCTTACTCTAGTAGACAAACTAGATCTCAGTTACTCAGTCCTAATGAAATGGTTGCCATACATTTTGTCAATCTCTGAAGGCATTCAACAATTATGAGTTCTCCCATGGCTGAAGCATTCATATGATACCTGTCTACCCTTGAGGAGATCCCTATTGTCCTTCAGCTCTTCAGATGCCACCTTCTTGCCTAGGGAACATCAGAAAAATACAAACCTCACCCAGACAAGAGTGATTACACTAAATTTTTCACATGGGTGACTGTACTCATTTTATTGCCTAAGTCAAAGGAGGCAGGCTTGTATGAAGATTGGAATATGTGACTCAGTTCTGAACAGCATTATGCAAGGTCAAAATAAGGGAAGAATGAATCAATTGTTACGGAACAGAAGAAATTTTCTGAAATATTCAGAAATATAGCCACACAGACTAGGATAATTCAGGAATATTACCTCAAGAAAACTGGATCCTATTAAATAGTGAGCTTTTATTTGAAAAGAATTATCTTCATGAATAAAGCTATTATTAGTACAGTTGTCCTTTACTATATGAGTCAATTTCTAAGAAACTAATTTGCCTAATGTTGTTTACCTGTTGTTTGTAAAGACTAACTGCATGAACGGACTATCTGGAGAAAATGTATATGTCCTGAGAACTAGAGATGCGATTCATCTTAACAATAATATGGATTTAGGTGTGTCCTGCACAGTGCTTAGTGTGGCTTCCCTGTAATCTAAATGGAGAAGGCAACTCAAGATATATGCTCATCTGGATTTCATCAGGAGTTTAGCCTGAGAATGATTAGAAAAAACTCTTGTAAATCATTATAATCTGTGTCCATTAGATTTCCCCCTGTCTAAAAGAAATCACTAAAACCTTCTATCAAGCTACATATAGTTCAACCATATTATTATTATTTTTTTACAAGAGTTAATCTACATCACTGGAATTAGCTTTTCAGATCCATCAGAAGAGTAAAAGCTAGAAAAAGTGTTCTGCTACCTGATGGAATAATCTCAACTAATTTGCTGTCTCACCTTAGACTAGCCTCTACCTATCAATTCCTTCAAGAATGAATACTTGAGCAAAGAACTATAATAACTATTTTTCAAAAGAATAAAGCCATGCTATATTGGGCCACTAAATACTTTTCTGGTTGTAGCCTCCTTCCTTTCCAGGTTTTGATAAATGATGTGAATTCCAAACAATGGAAGCAGCTCAGAAGATGCTCCCTCTTTACATCCTCATTTCCATCTTTCACACAAACACCTGTTAACATTACATCTCTTGACCCATATTGTGAACTTACACTGCTAGAAACATTGTGTAAAAAGGGCAGAGTTTGGCAGCTTATTTTTAAGAATGAGCATAAAGACAAGATGAAGTCATCCACAACATGGTGGAAGCCACAGGTAATTATAATCATTCTGCTTTGAAGTCTCCTTCTAAGTACTACAAAATAGTGAACACAAGTTCTGTACTAATGGACAGAGTACCTTATGCAGTTCTAATCAGATAGGAGGAACAAAAACAATCATCTCCATCCATTTAATTATATAACATGGAATCACAAAACCAGGAAGCAGTTTCCGTCGTGGGACAACTTAGATATTATGACAGTCTCTACAATGTATAGAATGCATCATCATACATGAAATTACTGCAAAAGGCTAAATACAGAACAAGCAAATAACAACAAAACTAAGCAAAAGCAAAACCAAAAAGGAAGTGTGTGTGAGAGAGAAAGGAATCGTTTATAGGGAACCAGAAGTTTCCAATATATATGAAATTTTGTCTTGAATATGGCATAATATGTCATTTCTAATTCTGACTCAAACAAGCATAAGTTTGAATTTTAATACAGTTACCAGATCTGGAAACAACTATAATATGCTTTTCATTTATTCCTTATCCTAAGAGTAACACAGGTTTCAAGAACGCCTTGCGTTAAAATACACAGTTATGCAGAAGTTGCCCCTTATATCAACAGAAAATCCAAAGTGCTCTAAATATAGTGTGGATATATTGGCAAACTCTGCTTCCAAGTAGTAAACTTCCCATATTCGAGACAAAATTTCATATATATTGGAAACTTCAGGTTCCCTATAAACTATTCCTTTCTCTCTCACACACACTTCCTTTTTGGTTTTGCTTAGTTTTGTTGTTATTTGCTTGTTCTGCATTTAACCTTTTGCAGTAATTTCATGTATACAATGCCTTTCACAATATGGGTGAACAGTAAAAACAGTGCTTCTATTCTGTTCAGTTCCATTGAATGTTGGGCTAACAAAACATTGCTAGGTGAAAAATATGTGCTTTTTTATAATTGTCAAAACAAAATGAGAAGTAAAGGGGGGAAATGCCCTGAAATTGGAGGAGGAGGAGCAGGAGGAAGAAATAATAATTAATAATAACAGTAAAATTGCCACTTTTTTTAACAAAATAAATCTTTCAGATATATTGAACACAAATATAACTTAAAAATAGCAACATGTTGATTTCTATCTTTTATCCACGATTAATTTCCTTTAGAATTGAGTCCGCTGTGTTTACTGGAGCGTATTTGCAGGTAAGCATACTTAGGATGGTGCTACATTTGCTAATAATAAGCTCTAAGAACATAAGCAGATAAAATAGGAGTAAATAAGAGAATTTATACTAAGATAAACTAGTTTCAATTTTTCTTTGCCTCCATATATCTGCACAACATTGTTTTACATTCAGGAAAGAAATACATTGCTATGAACTTCACATAACAGCCAGGGTATTTTAATGTTATGAAGTGATTTTCAATAGAAAGAAATTCATTATGTCCTTTGATAAAAATCATCTTTACCATCTACGTTAATGTTGTGTTGGACAATTCTGATTAATGTCAATCTTAAAAATGAAAGAGTTTGGTTAAAATATGTATGAACTATACATAACATATGTTATTAGCAATATATTCAACACCATGATCTATATTATTCAAGTATAAAGGTAAAAATTTAAATGCCCATATAACACTGTTATTGGCAGAACAAATTAAGTGGTATGTTCACTACACTGAATGCATATCTTAATCTGTGCAGTTTGCCATTAAAATATCTCCAGGGACTGTAGAAAAGTATACTAGTTTAATTAACACTGTCCTCATTGTTATGACATCCAACTTAAACATTCAACAATGCCGAGAGAGAGAGAGAGAGAGAGAGAGAGAATACAATTATATTCACCCTAAATTTTAAAGACCCTAAATCTGACTTTGAGCCATTTTTTAATTTCTGAAGGTATGGCTGCCAAGAAAAAAGTGGGCATTTGCTTCAGAAATCAGAGATAATTGAAAAAAGTACACTGATGTTCCAGTTTATCCTAAGTAGATCCAATAGGGGGACAATTTCATGACATGCAAATGTTAGTAATCCCTATCAAGTGATAGTAGGAAAGAGAACAATCTTGATGTTGCACCTGAAAGCCCAAGTTGCTGCTGAAGAGTAACCACATGAGAAGTTTAAAATCCCTCTATTGCTACTAGAGCCAGGAAAATAATCAACATATCCAGCAATGATCAATGCCAATGTCACATTCAACACTATTGTGATCATACTTCAATGCTAATCAACACTTGAAAAGAACACTCAAGAAATCAGGAGCTGTTCAGTATACCCCAAAATTGGTATAAGCAAACTCAAGCAGCCAAAACTGAAATAAAATATTTGTTAAATACCAGCACTGAGTATTTTTTTTTCTGCAGAAGGGCACCCTACTTCACCTTTTAGCATCACAGCTAACCACACAATTGTAAGTACAGTATAAATAAAAGAAGCAAATGCTGTATTGTTGCCCCCCCCACACACACACATATCACAATTATATAGAGGGGAGGTAGCATGGGTCACATTTCCCTACTGGTTGTTCCCGTCAATGGCTGCAATCCTGTATACAGTTAGGATACTTTAATTCCACTAATTTCAATCTTATTTGTGCTGCCAGTGTGTAGGAGTGCACCCAACCTCTTTTAATCTGAGCTTTTTAGCAGCCTTTGATCAACATTTTCCAAGCAGGGTTGAGGTTTTAGCATTATGCCCAAGCCTTGTTCATACTTGTGCAACTTCACACATTGTTGTTTGTGGTAAAAGAAGTACTCATCTAAAATGAAATGAGCAGCACACGGAGTCAAAAGTCCTTACCTCATTTAGCTGCTGGTTCTGTTGGGAAAATCCTTTAGCTGCAGCAGCAAAAAGACGGATCTGGCTATGCCAGATGTTAGGTAAACATAGGTGGCAGGCTATCAGTTCAAAAAACCTCGCAGCAGTGAAGATAAATGGATGTGATATTAATTTTAAAACATTTTTTTAGCATGTTGAGCCGGCCAATTGGGTAATTCCTTAGGTCACTTCCTGTTACTCTGATTGGATCTTCTAAAATTAAACTTTTAAAAAAAAAGAACCACAGGGATTGCAAACATTTGCATACAGAGAGCCAACTCACACCTTCCCGTACAAACAAAACAAGTTTAACCAGGTTACACTGGTGTCCTCAGAACAAAAGAGAAAGAGTCCTGTTAATGGATGAAGCATTGGTTTACCTGTGTCGAGGTTTTTCAATTTTTTAAAAGACCACCCTATTCTCCCTGCTTCACAGACAGGTTATTCCAGGTAGGTAGCAAGTGGTAATGAGAAGCAATCTCAGCTGGGGGAAAGGAATAAACCAGAAAATGAAGTGTATGGAATAGATTTGCCTTGGCAGCAAATGCAAACAAATGTTCCAGCACTGAAGGATTATCTTTCTCCTCCCCTTGTATTCATTTACTCTTGTTGAAGTCAGTTTGTACGTATATAAAGGAATTGGCTTCCAGAGCTGTCCTTTCGGAGAACTGCCTTGGTCTGCCTACATGCATAAGCCTAGCGAAAAATAAAACAAAAACTTGGCACAAACAAAAAACTGCATACCTGCTGAAGGAGTGACCAAGGATGTGGTAATCAGTGCTCAAGAAGGCAACCAGAGTGCATGGGCTCACCTTGTTTCAAAAGGGCATCCTGTCTTTTGGATTCTAGCAAAATACTGGGCATTTATTTGGGAGAAAGTGAGGACAGTTTGTACAGATCAAAAATGACATTAGGGAAAAAATATGGTTTCCCAAACTCTGGCTGAGTAGAGGCATTTGGTACTAGCAGTGCTTTTCTCTCCATAAAGGAGAAGAGAAAAGACATGGTGTGCTCTGCTGACTCCATTTGTATTATAAACAGATGGAGGAAAGCCTTTGTGAGTGAGCTACAGCTCAGCTTACCTGGATGGAGGAGAAGTGAACTGGAAATATCAGAGCTTGTAATGTAACTTCTTTTTACTGTGGCACCTACAATCACCTATGGTTACTGGCCAGGACAGCAAAAGATGCCATCAAACAATGCAATTTCTCCAAGGTCGAGGGTGGTGGTTTGCACCTGATTCTTAATAATGTTTTGTTGTGGAGAGAACAGTCTACATGTGAGGACAGACAAGGATGTATACAGAGGGGAAATCCTGGAGATTTATCTGCTTAAAGTTTTGAAAAACTGTCCTGCTTGATATAATGCAACTTCTAAGCATGGTTGTTGTGGGTTTTTCGGGCTCTTTGGCCGTGTTTTGAAGGTTGTTCTTCCTAACGTTTTGCCAGTCTCTGTGGCCGGCATCTTCAGAGGACAGCACTCTGTCCTCTCTAAGCACAGCACAACTTCTAAGCAATTTACATTAAAAATTCATCTAATACGATCTAATAATAAAAATGGTAAAAGTCATGTTAACAAAAACATAAGAGAAAGGGGTAGAAGGACAGAAGAAGTGTGTTGAAATTTATTTCTGTGTGCATATGGGTGAAAATACTTTTATCCTGTTATGCTGGCAGAGCACAAACAGCATAACTTTGGGAGGTGAATTGCCCCAAGTTGAGAAATCACTACAGGCATTATCAGTTGCACACTGAGTTGTTTGACCCAGCCTGCAACTTGCATAGCTACACAAGAGGATTTTGGCCATACACGTCAGATTCTAACCTTGGGTAATGCACTCACATGAAGCAAGCTGAATGATGTGACAGGGTAGGCATGCCAGGTAGCAGCCATGCTCACAGTGAGAGAAAGGGCTAAGGCACTACATGAAGCAAGTTGAATGGTGTGACAGGGTGGGCATGCCAGTGCTCACAGTGAGAGAAAGGGCTAAGGCACAGGGAAAGAGGGACAGAAGACAGGCAGGGCAGGTGCAGCAGCCTAATAAGGAACACCTGCCTGAGGCAGCCAGGAGCCTGATAAAAAGGAGGGCTCCCGGTGGTGGCTGGTCAATAGAAGAAGAGGAAGCAGAAGGAGAAGGGACCTGGGCTGATGCCCCAGAGGAGCTGCTGCCACCTCAGGGAGCCAGGAGGGCTGTGTGATGTTCCTCCACTAGAGGAACTACTGTGGACCGCCAGCAGAGCCTCCCTCCAGTTGTCATACTGCACAGGCAAGGACCATGGGGAGGGGAAGGGCTGGACAGCCAGCATCTATCAAGGTCAATACAAACTCCAAAGTCTCATGCTGATGGATCTGAATTGTGAGGACCCTCAGGATCCCACTGAGGGACGGAGTGCCCAAGAACTGGTAGATGCCCCTTAACCTGCTTCTTCCAAGGCTGCAGGGATTCTGCAAACCTGTAACACAACTGTAAATAATGCACCCATATGTTTAAACCCTGAAGTTGAGCCCATGGAGTTTGTGCCAGAAAACCCAGCCATCCACTAGCTCTGCAGTGCCAGAGACTGGCAAGGCCTACAAACGGTCACTAGAAACAAAAAGTTTTAAGAAGCACTGTAGCCCACTTGCCATAGACCTTTAATAGCATCAGCTCCAGCACCTTACTTTGGAGGATAATGATTTCTTTTTTTTCCCAATTTGAGGTTTAGGGGGAGTAATGAATAATAACTTTATTTGTTATATCAAACATAGGCCATAAGATGGTTTTTAAAAAGCATGAAACATTTTGCATTTGTTTTCTCTAAGGATTTGCTTGTCTGTAATTATCTTTTTTTACCCCTTAGAGACTATTTTCCCCCTTCCTCAACCACGTTGACCATAAGCATATTTTCTCTGGTTGCTAGGAAACACCATAGAATGCAGATGAGCAAACTGGCTATGTGAGTACGTAAAATGCATGACCTGAAAAGCAGTTCAATATGGTGACAACAGCACAAATGTTTAACTTCTGATCTGAAGCCGAAGTATTGACTCCAGAGCAAATAAGTTAAATATATCAAATAGGTGAATTAGTCAGTGTGACCGATTCCATTGGAAATATAAAGTTGATTGCTTTGTATGCGACTACATGTTATGCTGCAGGAAACACCAGCATTACATCAACATGTTTTTCCCTTGTCTACAAGAGAGGCTGTGCAGTCACTACAACAGGAAGCAACCCAAGCAAACACCGGTGGACTGATGAAATTTCAGAGTCAGGATCATGACTGCGTACAAATTTTACTCAGCATATACATCAAGTAAAGTATTTGCAAGCAAAAGCTGAAAATGAGCTGAGGTTAGCTAGAAATACTAAAAGCAACAAAGAAAGTCTTCTTCAGGTATGTACATAGCAAAAAACAAAGAAAAGAAACAGTGGTTCAGGAGATGGAAAAATGATAACAGAAGACAAAGAAAAGGCAGAAACACTCAATTTCTATTTTAGTTCAGTCTTTTCCCAAAGGGCAGACAATGACCCTCCAGACAAATATGAAGTGCAAGTGGATGGGGCATGATTGCAGCTGGAGACTGATAAACAAATAATCAACAAACACTTTACCACCTTGAACGAGTTCAAATCTCTAGGGCGAGATGAACTATATCCAAGAATATTGAAGGAACTGGCTGAAGAACTCTCAGAACCACTGTCCGTTATTTTCTTGAAATCATGGGAAATGGATCAGGTACCGGATAATTGTAGGATGGCTAAAGTTGTCCCTATCTTCAAAAAGGGCAAAAAGAAGGGAGCTGGGAACTATAGACCAGTCAACTTGACATCAGTCCCAGGTAAAATTCTAGAACAGATTATAAGGCTTCCACTATGTTTGCACCTAGAAAACAATGCAGTAATAACTAGGAACCAACATGGATTTGTCCAGAACAAATCCTGTCAGATGGATCTGATCTCATTTTTTGATTGGGTAACCTTCCTGATAGCCAGAGGGAATACTGTAGACATAGTATATCTTGACTTCAGCAAAGCTTTTGACAAAGTGCCCCATAACATTCTGATTCTCATGCTAACTAGATGTGGACTGGATCGAACAACTGTCAGGTGGATACACAGTTGCTAAAGAATTTTACTCAAAGGGGGATGATTAATGGCTCCTTCTCAAACTGGGAGGATGTAGCAAGTGGGGTACCTCAGGGCTCAATCCTGAGCCCAGTGCTCTTAAACATTTGCATTAATGACTTGGATCGGGGGTACAGAGAATGCTAATCAAATCTGCAGATGAAACAAAATTGGGTGGAACAGCTAATACCCTGGAAGACAGAAACAAGATTTAAAATGATCTAGATAGGCTTGAGTACTGGGCTGAAAACAACAAAATGAAATTCAACAGGAATAAGTACAAAGTACTGCACCTAGAAAAAGAAACCAAACACACAATTACAAGATGAGAGATACCTGGGTCAGCAATGCTACAAGAGAGGAAGATCTTGGAATCATCGCAGATCACTAGCTAATATGATCCAACAATGTGGTGTGGATACAAAAGAAGTACTGCAAATACTAGTTTAGGATGCATTAACAGAAGTCTCCAAATCCCAAAAGGTGCTATTTCCTCTCTATTTGGGACTCGTTAGGCCTCATCTTGAGTACTGTGTCCAGTTCTGGACACCACACTTCAAGAAGGATGCTGACAAATTGGAAGAAGTTCAGAGGAGGGCAACAGGGATGATCATGCTATTGGAAACCAAGCCCTTCGAAAAAAACTGGACGAACTTGGCAAAAGTTTGTCTTTTTGTGAAAAGAAGACTGAGGGGAGATATGATAGCACTTTCCAAATACTTGAAAGGTAGAGAAGGGGCAGGATTTGTTCTCAATTATCCCAGAGTGCAGGATACACAACAATGGGCTCAAGCTACAGGAAGCCAGATTTTGGTTGAAAACCAGGGAAAACTTCTTAACTGTTAGGGATAAGGGAGACAATTACTTCAAGAGGTGGTGAGTGCTCGAAAACTGGAAGCATTCAAGAGAAATTTAGAAAACCACCTGTCAGGTATCATTTGATTTTTATTCCTGCATTGAGCAGAGGGTTGGACTCAATGGCCTTATAGCCCCCTTCCAACTTC